AAAGAGGAGGAGGAGGAGGAGGAGGAGGAGGAGGTGGTGGTGGTGGTGGCGCCGGCGGCAGCCGCGGTAGCTGCCAGTCCAGAACAGAATGATGGGCAACTCTCACCACAAGCAACCGAGGAGTAAGAGCCAAAGCAGGATGCATTCAGCAACAGGTACTCTCTTCCTTTCCCTCCTTTTTTCTGGGGCTCCTTCAGCCAGGGCCTCCCCCCACCCACCTCGCTGCTGCCGCGCTGCAGGGCCCCTGACCCTTGGCGCGACTTGCAGGGGCTGGCAGGGGGCGGGGAGAAAGTCTGAGGGAGATGCGGTGAACTCCCAGCTCCCCTGCTCTCGTGCCAGGCTGAATTGCATAAGTCTGAGCTCCCTGAGCTGGCAGGAGCTGGCTCCTTCTCCAGCAACCCCGTGTAGCCTCTGGAGGGTGGCTGGAGTATCTGGGAAGTGAGCAACGTGCCAATGACTGAAGTTTATCGCTAGGACTGTGATTTCTCGCTGGATCCAGTAGGCAGAGTCTTGGAACCATGCATGGCTTATCCTTTACAAGCCTCCTTTGTTATTCAAACCTTCGCCTCTCTGCAGCCCCCATGCTCGCCCCGCACTTGTACACCTACACCTCTCCTGGCTCTTTACATCCTATGCTGCATGCACAGAATGATCCAGACAAATTCTTGCTGTGTAATGCCCTGCCCCCCATCTCCCTGCCCCAGCCCTGGCAGAGCTCTTCTCACTGCATGGACAAGAGCATTGGCCAGCCTTGAGTTTTTTGCCCTCCTACCCCTTGATATATTCTGCTTTGCCCCTTGGGCCCCTTCAGACATGGGCTCAAGGGTGCTGACATAGTTTTCCCCAACAACTTCTTCTTGGATGCTCACAGTATGTAAATTGGGGTCTAAAGACAACTTTTCTTAGTTCACCTTTGTAAGGTGGTGCAAGAAGGACATGGTAGCAACTTCACTTATTCCATTCACCCTGGCACCTACCTCTTGGCCCTCAGAAGCACCTTTGATCACTACCCTGGGTCAGGCCTCATGTACTAGGACCAGTGCACTTTCTCTCCATGCTCTCCTTCCTCTTCCATGGTGTTCTCTCTTTCTTCTCAGAGGCCCTCCTCACACAGAGTCCTGGAGAAGCCCAGAATTCCTTTTCTGATCATTTGGGAAATTCTCATTCACCACTGAGGCCAGTGGAAAGGAAGGAAAAGTTTTGCCAAGTTTAACTCAAGTTTATCATAAGAAAGCAATAAATGAATTGGTGTTTTGCTGAAAGCATGCCATGCTCAGGTCCCAAGGGTTGCCTCTGCTTCTTCTTGGGGACTCAGCTGGACATGCACTTGAGAGCAGTTGTCTAGAGCCAACCAGTCCTGGGGTAGGGGGCATCACATGGTGTCAGGGAGAAGGAAACTACAGGAAATTCACTTTGGGATGTGCTGGCAGACTGGGTAACAACTGCTGGGGTCCACCTGTCAGAACACAGCTTTGTTTGGCTTCCTGAGTGGGCTGAATTTGGGTTCCTGTGGTAGACTGAGCCAAGGACAGATTCTGATGAAGTTTCTTTGGACTCTTGGGGGAACACAGTCCTCTAAAGCCAGTATTAGTAGGTGAATGGTACCTCATAACATCCTGCTTCTCTGCCAGGGAACTGGAGGCTTCAAGCCTTACTGGTGTTACCCAGCGATGCTCTTTGCAGCCTTATCTGGGAACTTGAGGATAACTTTCCACATACTTGCTGGTGTGGCAGCTTGGGACAGTCAATGGCTGCTGCCATTTCTTAGAAGTTGCTTTGTATCTTCAATGGCAGCTCCAATCCAAAGTCATCCTGGAGGCAGCAGCTATGGGAACAGTCTCTGGTAGCAGGAAGAAGTGGCCTCATGACCACTTCTCCTTTCCTGTCCCTTCCATCTCCTGGCCTTCACCCCCAGCACAATGTCTTCTCTATCACATCCCTAGGCAGTCCCAGAGTCCCTAGTAGAGCACTCACTCCCACTGGACTAACTTAGAGAAAAACAATGGTTATCCTCCTATCTGCCAACTGCCCATAGGATGGTCAAAGATGGAAGACAAACCAGGTATGGTGGCACATGTCTGTAATTCAGCTAATCAGGATTCTGAAACAGGAGGATATTGAGTTCTATGCCAGCCTGAGCAACTTAGACCTTGTCTAAAAATAAAAATAAAATAAAAAGTGCTAAAGATGCAACTCAATGGTAGAGTGCCTGCCTAGTGTGCACAAGGCTCTGGGTTTGATCTCCAGCACCAGGAGCAGGGGCTGGGGGTGGAAGGGAGGGGCAACCACTGGAAATAATCAGCTCTTGGTCTCAAGGAGAGAGTGACCCTGACTATGGGATATATTTCTGTCCTGCAGTAACTAGGAAAGGCTTTGTGGATGAAGAAGCATTTCTTCCTTTGCCCACCCTTTTATGCAAATATCCTTTCCTCAGAGTTCTCTTAGGCTTGTGACTTTTCTCTATACCCTCTCCCTTAGCAGTGCAGGCCACACCTGAGGAGACTACCTCTATAAGCATGGCCTCCAGATCTCTCATTGCTGCTCAGACTAACATGGCCAACTTCTCCATCTCCACCTGAATGCCCCACAAGTATCTCCCACTAAACTGAGCATATCCTGTCCCCTTTCTCTCTTCCATTTTCTTTTAACAGCACTACTATTTTTCTAGTAACCCAGACTAGGAACTTGGGAATCATGTTCACTTCTCTCTCTCCCTCACCTCACACCTACAATTTTAACTCATTCCTTCACCCAGCCATTTATTCATTTGACAGTTATTGAGACTCCCTCTGAGACACAGTTACTCCTCTTCTTATTCCACTGCCAGCATCTGAGTTGAGACCTTTATCCACTCTTGCTTATTCTTAAACTGGCTCCTTGCCCCAACATTTGTCCTTCTAGCCATGCCTAATACAGCAACCAATGATCTCCCCGGCACTCTCTTGCTGTGAACCCAAGCCCTGTTAATTTGGGTCTAGTGGGTCAAGATTGTTTCCCAGGTATGAAGTGGATCCCAGGAGGCCCAGAAGATCACTGTAAATGGTAGAGAGAAAACTCTTCTTACCTTTTAAGGTTCTGTTATATTAATACATATTTTAAAAATATAGCTAGTATATCAAATATACAGATTCTCATATATATTTTTATTAGGAAAAGGTTAAGTGTTTTTAAAGTCTTTTTGAATAAAATAATTAAATAGATAGTAGTACATGTGGTACATGAGAATGGCAAAGGTTGAAAAACTGAAACAACAGTGCTTGAGGTTTGAGAAGCACCAATTACTAAGGTAAAGTGGGTGTTCCTTAATCATTTTTAGAGACCTGTGACCAGACTCTGCCTAATTCTCCAGCCTCACTTGCTATCACATCTCACCTTGAAATGGATGGTCTAGCCATATTGAATGACTTGTGGTTCTCCAAAATTCCCCATTCTACATTTCCATGCCTGAAGCACCTCCCCCAAAACGCATCTCCTCCTGGCAATTTCCTATTCATTCTTTAAAACCCTTATCCAATGTCACATCTTCTCTTCCATAACTGACCTCCTTCCTCCATACAAAATTAATGAACAGAGTCCATCACTCCTTCTTCTGTTCTAATCTGGTACCTTTTATATAATTTTATCAGTGCTGATATTGTCATTTTTGTAGTTATTATTGAATGTTTATCTCCTCTAGGAAAACATGAGCTTTTCAAAGACTGCAACTTGAAAGGGTGGGGAAAATGAAAGAGTTGGAAAGAGCCTTTAACCAGAACTCAGAAGGCTTGGCTTCTGGTCTCTCTTGCCTGTGAACCTGCAGGGAGAATCTTAGGCAAGTCATTTACCTGTTTGACCTCCATCCTTTGGCTACAAAAAGCTAGGGATCCTTAGGCAGGTTCCTTAGCATGATTGCAGAATGTTGGGAGAATGTAGTGTGAGCTAGCTAGGAAGAAAGTTGAAATTACTTTTCAAGTGAAGAAGAGTGATGATGATTGCAGATGGGGGAAACACTGTGGACCTTTGCCCTGTGTCTGGAGCCAGAAGTGGGCCGGGCATGTTTGAAAAACCACAGGGAGCAGCCACGTGAGCTGAGCCTAGTAATGGTGCAGCTGGATGGGGGTAAACAGCTGCAAACAGCAGGAGGGGGTGGGGGAGGAGGTGGGACAGTTATAGCATGTGAAATCCCAGCAGGGCGACCTTAGAGCACAGGTTGCTTTAAGGCTGGAAAGCCTTATCTGCCAGGCTTAGAAATTGGAATTGATTTCTCACTCTCATAGCCACTTTTACCTCTTGTGTATGTAAATGCAGCCTTGTCGCCCTGTGAATCTGTATGTATTATGGAAGGGGATGTGTGCTAATGTCACTGCCACTATCCAGCATGTGCACAGTTGTGCATATAGGGGCCATCTATTTGAACTAGTATTCCACAGAGAAGAAAAATGGAACCAATATTTGTCATACACCCACACTTATTGCATACCCACACTTTTTTTTTTTTAGTACCAGAGATTGAACTCAGGGCCCCTCAACCACTGAGCCACATCCCCAGCTCTATTTTGTATTTTGTTTATAGACAAGGTCTCACTGAGTTGCTTAGCACCTCGCCATTGCTGAGGCTGGCTTTGAACTCGATAGCCTCCTGTCTCAGCCTCCTGAGCTGCTGGGATTATAGGTATGCACCACTGTGCCCAGTGCATACCCACACTTTTCATCCTCCATTTTACTTACCACTCAGAACAGCCACCAGACAGGGACTATAAATGCCATTTTACAAATGAGAAAACTAAGACTCAGAGGGAGAGCTGCCCCATGATCTGATAACAAGAAAGTTGTGGAGCCAAGATTTGAAGACTAAATCCGTCTGCCTTCCAAGCCTGTGCCTATTGCACCATGCCATGTGCTTTTCAGCATCTTTGCAGCTGTGGAAGGAGTTAGTAACACTGGAGACAGGGTGTGGTGGAAGTAGGGGACCATGACTCTGTTCTGGTATGTTGAGCAAATCTCTATAGCAACTGGGAATGTGATCCCCAGCTTGGTAGAAGTCCCACATATGTCTGTTTGATGGCACATTTGTATTGTTGGAATAATTGAATTCATTGGAGGCTCTGTGTTGAGTCCAGAAGCTAGAGCGGGGGATGCCTGAGCTAGTGAGAAAGTGGAGGGTTCTTGTATTTAA